AGGTATTAAGAGGTGTATGCAAGTTTAAAATATGCAGATATTTTGAAGTGGTCCGCTGTCAGTGGTCAGCATTTTATCTGCAGTAGACAGAAATCATAATAACTTTGCTTTGGAGGACAATTGAACATTTTTCATGGAGGCGTCAAGCTAACTGCCAGTCAGAGTGGATTACAGTCATGTTAACTCAAGTCTCAACACTTGGGATTGTATTCCAACAACATTTTTAAGTTTTCAGTGTAAATAAATATGAATGCATGTAAACAACGTTTTGATAAATAAGTGCCATACTGTAAAAAGTTGCATTATAGCTATAATATGTGATATTAAGCATTCACTTTAGAGTTTGACTTGTGTTTGACGGTTAAAATCTATATTTGACTCGTAGATTAGAATCATTCTTAGAATGTACAAATTAAGATTACTTTGGCTGCTGTCTGGAGCAGGTAAGATGCTGACAGTTATCCAATAAAAGCCAATTTAAATAAAAACAGTGTTAAAGCCAGCCACGTTGCTGACTACCTACATGCAATCAGCGTATAAATTATGTAATTGTTGGAAAAGGATGTTGAGTCACTAAATCCATTGCAGTCATTAATTAAAAAATGTTTAAGACATTGATTTCAAAGTTCAACATTTCCATTGACTGTAATTTGTTTCAACAACATTCTGTGACTCAGTCTTTTGTGCACCTCCTGATCCAATCAGTTTGAAACGTATCTGTGTTAGGGTTCATTAATCACCAATGAAACAACTTTCAGACCAGTTTTGTCAAGCATGTTGGAAGTACATTTAAAATGTCCATTATACAGATTCGTAGTAGGTTTTAGGGTGGTTTCTCACTTGATTGAAGTTTGACAGGTCCGATTTTTTTTCCTTTTGTAGCAATAAGACTGGAAAAGATATAAAAATGAGCTATCGTCAGATTTTTTGTTTTATTTTGTAGGAAAAATATAATTTATTTATTTATTATATATTTTGAAGCACAATGTAGCAAAGTATGTATTTGGCCACTGTGAAGTGTTAAATATCATTTAATTTTTCACCTGTCAAAGCCACCACACATAGTTAACCCTCACTTAAATTCATCTATTCCCAGGTGACCTCATCAGAACAGGACAAGGAACATGGGAGACATGAAGACGCCAGACTTTGATGATCTTCTTGCGGCCTTTAACATCCCTGACATGGTAGATCCTAAAGCTGCTATTGAATCTGGTCACCAAGATGAACAAAATGAAGTCAAGAAGTCCAGTTCCGGGGTGACTTCCTGTGAAGATGAGGACAACATCTCCTGCAACGCTCATGACCCTGGTGTTAGCGTCATCGTAAAGAACATTCAAAATACAGAACTGAATGAACAGGGTGGACTTGAGTCAGAGAAAGATGGGAATTTCAACTCTCATCCTCAGCCACATTCTATTGATAATGAACTTCATAATGGCTGCTTACCCACATTAGAACCTGCTACTAAGAATGAGTGGAAAACACACAGAGAGGAGGGGCTTAAACTTACCAACCAATCATCTACTATTAGTGAATTCAGTCCAATATCTAGTGCTGAAGAGTTTGACGATGAAGACAGAATCGTGGTGGATGATCCCATGGACAAGCAGAGAGAAGAAACTTTCTTTAGTCCCCCAACTAAGACAGAGGACCAGAATTCCAATACTGTACCGGACAGCGCAACTCAATCCAAAACAAACAGAGACAAAAAATGTAATCAAAACAACAAAGATGACCAAGTCAGGTGTTCTCCGTCCGATGGACCACCTACACCATTTTCACTAGATGAGGACATGTCTCTAAAATCTCAAAGTCAAGGGAACAGGGATGCCGATGAGTCATCAGTGCTCATTGATTTTTCCAGTACTCCACCAATCAAAACCAAATCTTCTGCAAAACTTTCCTCTTGTATAGCTGCTATAGCAGCACTCAGTGCCAAAAAGGTTGTGGCTGAAGAAACAGTTGATTTTCACTCTCCCACATCACAGAAAGAACCTATTCAGGCCAAAGAAAAGCCCAGAGATTCAGACAGAATACAGGAAATGGAATCAGCATTAGACCGGACCATTAAACCGGACAGTCCGTCCAGTGAAGGCAGCAGCAAAGGTTCCCCTACCTCGAACACAGACACCACTCCAGTCATCCCAAAGGTCAGGATCAAAACCATCAAAACCTCGTCCGGACAGATCAAACGTACTGTCACACGAGTTCTTCCAGAATTTGATTCTGAATGTCTAAAGAAAGTAGAGAATAGCACATGTGTCATGCTTAGCACCAATGCAATAATCTCATCACCCAAAAGGTCCACAATCCCAACTACAGTAGTAGCCACCAGTGGGGGTGGATCAATCGAATTAACCAAGCAGATGACAATAAAGCCTGTGGCAACAGCGTTTTTGCCAGTCTCAGCAGTCAAGACCGCTGGTTCGCAAGTTATTAACCTTAAACTGGCTAACAACACCACAGTCAAAGCGACCGTCATTCCTGCTGCATCAGTGCAAAGTGCCAGTAGTGCCATCTTAAAAGCTGCTAATGCCATCCAGCAGCAGACTGTCATGGTGCCTGCTGCCAGTCTGGCTAATGCCAAACTTGTGCCAAAGACGGTCCATCTTAGTAACCTTAACCTTCTGCCTCAAGCAACGTCCTCTGCTTCCTGTGATATCCAGCAGGCCTTGTCTTCCTCCAAACCATCCCACCGCCAACAATCACAAGTGAAACAACAGACAGTTCTCACCAGCCAAGCCTCGAAGAAAGTCACTCGGGTTCAAGTGTTTGCCAGCTCTCAAAGCTCTGTTGTGGATGCTTTCAATAAAGTCCTGAGTAGTATGAATCCTCTACCTGTGTACGTCCCGAATCTCTCTCCACCGAACTCAGCCTGTATCTCGTTACCCTCCAAGGGCTACAGGTGTTTGGAGTGTGGAGATTCATTTGCTCTTGGGAAGAGCTTGACACAGCACTATGAGCGTCGCAGTGTGATAATTGAGGTCACCTGCAACCACTGTGCCAAAAGTCTTGTGTTTTATAACAAATGCAGCCTCCTGTCTCATGCCCGAGGCCACAAGGACAAAGGGGTGGTCATGCAGTGCTCACATCTCATCCTGAAACCTATTCCTGCAGATCAGATGATCGGCACAACAAATTCATCTGCACCACCCATTACGTCTACCTCTCAAGCAAAGGCACCCACAGAAAAAACGCAAGGAAAAGGTTCTGATCACCAAACTGGAGTCATTTCACTCCAGTACAGTGCTCCTCTTGTGGCAGCCATGCCGCTGGAGGATGATTCATCAAAGCACTTCCGACACAACTTCAAATGCTCTGAGTGCAACGAAATGTTCCAGGATGACAGCTCACTGGCCATGCACTACCAACAAGCACCAGAATCCAGTAGTCAGGTGTGTGCATGCATATAAGACTCATTTCATTTTATTTCTTGATTTTAAGGTCAGATTTTTTGTAACATTTTAATGTGGCCTCGAGCAATTGTTCCACAGGTTTTCCTAAGATCATTTAAGGACAATAGCTGCTTTTTCACATTTTTTTAAATTCAGTGTCTGATCAGTTTCAGAGCAAATTTGTTTATTGACCTATATTTACATATGCAAATCCCACTGAGTAAGGGAGGCCTGGGTCTGAAAGCAACCTATCCTGGATGTTTTTGGCCTGTGGGAGGAAACCGGATTACCCGAAGAAAACACACGTTGACCTTCATTGATCCTTTATCTGTGAGAGAACATCATATTACATATACAGATAAAGGATCAATGAAGGTCAACGTGTGACGTACTTTGGTTTCCAACACAATTGCAAGATTTAAAATTTCTTGTGTCAAATTGACCCAGGAGCTTTCACAGAAAGAACCATAACAGGAGGGTTAAACCATTTACTGTAACTCTAATCTATGAATCATCAAGGCATAAAATGGCTTTTGACACTTCTCGTGTTCTCCACTTGTTTTTAAAATACACATGCTGCACAACATGATGTCACAGTCAGATACAAACATTGAGGGAAAAACTACCCTAAGTATAAACAAATAAATCCCAGTAAAAAATACGTTGAAAAAAGGTGAATATTCAGCAGGAAACTGTAAAAAAATGACAAGATGAGACTTTGTGCACAATGCGGCTTGTCTTATTTTGAAACTTGACTAATGTTTCTTAATATCTTCTTTTGATTTATATCATCTTACAGAAAACGTGCACTATTTGCCAAATGCCTCTTCCAAATCAGTGCAGCCTTTTGTCACACCAGCGGATCCACCAGCACAAGTCTCCTTATGTCTGCCCTGAATGCGGCGCTAGCTGTCGATCTGTCCACTTCCAGTCGCACGTCACCAAGAACTGCCTACATTACACCCGCAGAATCGGCTACCGGTGAGTCGACCTTCATGAAAACCAGAACAATATAAACGTGCATATTCTGAGTAGTTTACACAGATTGATAGTATTTTGTTATTAATACATATATATTTTTAAGTTTATTCATTTCTTTTAAAATAAATTCTGTATACAATAAAAATACTAATCACAAATCAAATGAAAGGAAGCAGAAAAAAGAAAAAAATCTAGTAGTATCTGCTCCTATTTTCCAAAAAATTAATTAAAAATATATTATTATACAAATAACACAAAAAGTCAATTACTTTTTGAGCAACAATTCGTGTACACACATTATGCTATTTCATGTTTCTTCAGCAGACCAACTTTTATCATTTTCGTAAAAATAAAGATTTTGTTCCAAAATTTTATTCCTTGAATTGAAGTGCATTGCTCCTTTAAACTGGTTCGAAATTTTGGTTTCACAAACATCTCTTTCCCCTTGAGATTGTAACACATCTCTCTATTAATAACATTTAATTGGATATGTAAAGGTACTGAGTTTTGTGAGCCCTGTCCACATTCGAGAAAATACTATCATCAACCGAGATATTGAACTTCAATCATTTCAATTTCCATATTACTCTTACCTAAATATCCAAGAAAACAACAAAGTAAAAATTTCATTGCTCAGGGAAATGTTTCCAGTTGTGCAACACTTTGAATCCTAATACTCAAATGTAATTATTTAGCTTTTATATTTGCTTTATTGGTTGGGGGAACAAATTCAAAGATGTTCAAAGTTACTGTATGCACAGTATCAATGAAGAACTTAATGAAGATGTGATTGTGATGACTGTGGTGCAGTTTTTTTTAATCTCTCAGCAACACCCATGAGTCAAACAGGATGATTTTGGAAAGTGCTGAAGGAAAACAATTGTTGATCCAAAACAGCTCAGGGTTCATTTCACCTCATTTCATTTCAGTTTTTTTTAGGATGCAACATTATAACAGGATGTATTTTACTCTCTACCTCATTTCCCTACACGTTTTCAGATTATTTTTTCCTGCATAAAATATTTTCCCTGTGATGGAAAAATAATGCTTTTGGGCTCAATCATAACCCTGCAAAATTAGGATCTAATAAAATAAAGATTTATTTCCCTTAGATACTTCTGATAAAACGTATTTCTCCTGTTAAACTTGGAACATTTTGAAGGACACATAGATGAATGTATATTTCTACAGGGTTTTATCTCATCAACTTATGAGAAGTTGTAAAACTGTTCATTATCTATCACCCATTTTAATGTTTTATGTTATTAGTTGAGTTTTAGAGAAATAGAAAAAATGTTCAGAAAATCATTTTTTGTCATATCGGTACAAGTGTCACTACTTTTTTAGGAACTTTAAAAGCGTCTTAAGAGCTTATGTCCAATAGAGTTGTTTTCTGATTGCACACTAACATTTAATGTGTAAATGATAATGTTAGTTTTTTCATAGAAAATAAATGATTCTTCAGACAACCTGCACTGATCAGAACTTTTGGCTCCAAGAAACACTAAGAAGTTAGCTTAATAAATGTTGTTTTAGTTAAACTAATTTAGGTTGAGCAGTTGCAAAGTAAACCCTTCTCTGTTGTTTCTCCCTCCAGTTGTATCCACTGTAGTGTGATCTTTGTCGATGTGGCGACGCTCAAGTCTCACATCCAGAGCAGTCACTGTGAGACCTTCTACAAATGTCCTCTCTGCCCCATGGCGTTCAAGTCTGCACCTGGAACCCACTCTCATGCGTACACACAGCATCCAGGAGTGAAGGCAGGGGAGCCCAAGTAGGTGTTAGCGTCCAGCTGCTGTCATTTAAAGCCTCCACTTCACCAGACTCCCATTTCCATTCAGACCAGCTCTGGAGTAAAACCCATATCTGATGCCTTTGTGTGGACAGTCATTGTGGCTTCCTCATCACTGAGGGGATTTGTGGATTTTAGACATGGGGGCTTAACTCGGGCTTGTTTGTTCCACGTTGTGACCTTTAATTTCCTTACACACCATCTAACATTACCAGCACTGCTGGCTGCCTTTGTGGGTGTTTGATTGTGGCTCTGACAGAGCGTCAACATTTAAGGTTTTAACATTTGAGAATTATGTTAGTTACTGCATGAATAATTAAAAACCTGATGATTCAAGTCTTTCATATTTTGCTAAGGTCGGCCAGCTCTTCAAAGTCTGATCAATGTATTTTGTCTTTCAGGGTTATATACAAATGTTCCATGTGTGATACCGTCTTCACTCTGCAGTCTCTGCTCTACACACACTTCGATCAGCACGTCCTCAGCCACAAAGTTTCAGTTTTTAAATGCCCCGACTGTTCCACGCACTACGCACAGAAACAGCTCATGCTGGATCACATCAAGGTAGCCACCTTTTCACTTTATAACGAATGGCTTTAATAACGCTACAAACCTGGGGGAAAAGGTTCACTTTTTTATTTATAGAGTTTATAGAGTTTTAGATGTCAGGACATAATAAGTACTAAAAAACTCAAATCTAACTTCAATGAGTGGAGATATTTTGGCCCACTCTTCTTTACAACAGTGTTTCAGTTCATTGACGTTTGTAGACAGTTTCTGCACAGCTCTTTTAAGATCCTGCCACAATATTTAGTCAGCTCCCTTGTGTTGCCTTAAATTATGAGCTTTTTCAGTTATTTTGTTGTGAATTTGCTGCTGGGTTTGCGAACATTGTCCTGTTGCATCATGACCCATTTTGGTCCATATTTCAGCTCTCAGATAGGCCTCTCGTTTGACCCTAGAATACTTTGGTCTGCAGAGGAAGTGCAAAGTGCCCAAGTCCTGTAATCACAAATCAATGTCCCTTCACCACCGTGCTTCACATTTATTACTCACAAAGCAGACAGGTGTGGGTCAGATCTGGTGTCAAGATGGCTGACTGCTGGCATGGAAAGCGGTTTTGTCAACCAGATGTGGGCCAGGTCTGATAATGATGGCACTGTTTTCAAGATGGAACACCACAACTGACCTGTTTGTGGTTTGGTTTATGTGGGGCTGGCCCTGCATGGACCACCTCTGGCAAACCACATCTGGACCACCAAATAGGCTGTCATTCTTTGTGGTATCTGGGCAGAGTGTTAGTACACTGTATGGGCCAGACAACTATCTGCGTATAAGGTGTTTGTGCTAATGTGCTGTGTTTGTTTGTTGTCAAACTTGGTAATGTGTTACATATTTTCTTTAGTCTCAGTTTTCCAAAAGACTTTGTTCCAGAAGTCACGTCGTTCATTCTGATGCAACTTCACCAACTAAAGCTGTGCTGCCATATTTAAAAAAGAAAAAAGGCTTTTCTCTGATAATTAAACAGGCCAGTTCAGTCTTTTTCTACAACCCCAATTCCAATGAAGTTGCGACATTGTGTAAAACATAAAGACAAAATATGACGATTTGCATTCTATGTTCAACTGAATACACTACAAAGACAAGATATGCAATGATCAAACAAAGAAACTCGATAGTTTATTTTATTTTTTGAATTTGATGTTCAAACCAAGCTGGGACAGGGTCAACAAAAGACTGAGAAAGATGAGGGATGCTCAAAAAACACCTGTTTGGAGCATTCCACAGGTGAACAGGCTAACTGGAAACAGATGAGTGTCATGATTGGGTATAAAGTGAGCATCCCCAAAAATAAACAGATCTCTTGTGATTTTTTTTTTTATAATTTCCTTGAGCATTTACGTCATTGCTGATGTTACTCGTGGCTTTGTGTACACTTTCATAGATGAGTCACACTTGGTGATGACAAATTTATCACTGATCAGCAGCACCTGGCTTCAACTTTTCTTCTTAAACCCCAGAACTGAAAAAAGGATAAACTTTCTTTTCCCCGTGACTGCGGTTAGGTTAAAATTAGACCAAAAATCAAAGCAGTGATATTAATATCTTGAATTGGTTCTTGAAATATGAAATGTCACAACTATGACCTTTTCAACAAGTATAATTATGTTTGTTTTGCTAATTTTAGGCCGTTCATGGAACCCTGAAGAACACAGAAGGTCCACCAAACCTGGGTATCAACCTCCCACTCAGCACAAAACCGACTAACTCCAATAGCACCAAGAGTAACATCCACCTGAACAACAACAACAACAAAGATGGAGGACATGTCAATAGTCAAGACAAGAGAGAAAAGAAGCCTTCACCTTCACCTCTAAAGACAACCAACAATAACTGTTCAGCTGACTTGAAGAGCCCCCTCAGCTCAGAATACACATGTCGAGAGTGTAACTCCTCCTTCACTTCCAGGGAGGTCTTTCTGACGCACATGAAGCGAGAACACAACAAGGTACATGGTACTTTATGAGAACGTTTAAATCATTCCCACTACCAACACATCCTGTTTGTCAGCTGTAAAACTGATAAGAGACTATTTGAGTCAATTTGTTGCAAAAACCACCCAAGACTTGTTTTTACTTTAGAAAGGTAATGCTTTAAATGCATTTTTGAAAATACATTTGACATCTTCCCTTTCAAACTGCAGATACTGAAGAAACACCCGTGTCGACAGTGTGACAAGTCTTTCAGCTCCTCACACAGTCTTTGCAGACACAACCGTCTGAAACACAAAGGTCTGCGCAAGGTCTACACCTGCCCGTGAGTACACACACCTGGCAGTTAGTTCTGTTTGGATCGGTGAAACGCATTTTGTTTATTTTTATGTTTTGACAACTCTTGAAAAAATCTATAGCTGCTCACTTCATCATTAAAAACCATTCAACAACAGTGGGAAATCAAACCTTGCCTTTTAATGCGACGTAAAATGTGAAGAAACTCAAACACTAAAGCATAGTCATAATAAAACCTCCTGCTGCTCTAGAAAATCATATTATTAACCACCTGAGTTGAAAAAATTCACAAGATCTCATTTAATTCAGGAGGTTAATATTAGGTTTTTAGTGTTTTCAGATGAAAAGCTGTGCTCTAACTAGGTTTGGCATTTTGAGTTCCTAGTTTTAAAACAGTGCATGGGCAATGCATTAAAAAACATTACACAAAACTACAAAATCACCTCCCGTATGAGTATTTTCACACTGTTAACACAGAAGAATCATGTTCCTTCGACACAATGAGAAGTAGAAGTAATTTGAAGCTTAAAATCTGCTGTTTTGAGATGCCTACAAATTATTTTTTTCTGACTGGCTTAACAAACTTATTTCCAATTAAAAAGGGGCCACGAATGAAGGGAATTTCTAATGTCTCAAAACAACTCTAATGTCTAAAATGTTATAGTGGTTTATATAAACACTATTTAATAAACCATTACAATGTTATCAGTTTATAACAAACAGTTATACTTGCAGACATGTTATGATATTCTAACTAGCAGTGACCCAGGCTGCATAAAGTCCTACCTGCTGCTGTTATTTGCACTTCAGCAGTAAAACTATGCAGTTAGTTTAGAATAACACATCAATACTAAAAAAACAACATAAATGTATAAAACACTATTTGTGATAACTTATATGATATTTTTTCTTGTTGACAGTCAATGTCCAGCTCTGAGCCAACCCTTCACTAGAAAAGTGCTGCTGGATCAGCACATCACGCTGATGCACGGACTTAAAGGAAAGACAGATGATTTGGATGCTGCACCCGACAGGCAAATGGTATGATGGCACACCAACAACAGTCACGTTGTTGTGTTTCCACGAAACACATAACTTCTTCTGAATGGTTAAATTTTGTGTTATTGTGAACCTTATGGCAAAATTGAACCCTAATTCTACACTGTAAAAAATAAAATGTTGGATTTACTTAACCATATTATGTTACCTGGTTCCACTTAACTGAGTTGAGTAAATTCAAAGCAATATACCAGTTTTTTAGCCAAAGAACATGAGTATGTTGCTTTGAATTTACTCAACTCAGTTAAGTGGAACCAGGTAACATAACATGGTTAAGTAAATCCAACATTTCATTTTTAGAGTGTACTTTCTTTTTTCCCCCTAATCAGAGCCAAAGCCCCAAAAGGAAGCCAGATGAAGAAGCGGGGCCTCCGTCGTTGAACTCCAGGGGCTCTGACTCCCAGCCATTGAAGAGGCTCAAGGTGAACGTCCTCAAAGTTCACAAATGTGCTGTCTGTGGCTTCACAACCGAGGACATCGCCACCTTCCACAAGCACGTCCCGCAGCACAAGTCGGACAGCTCGTCCTTCCAGTGTCAGGAGTGTGGCCTGTGCTACACCTCCCCCCGCTCGATGGCCCGACACCTCTTCATCGTCCATCGGCTGAAGGAGCCCCAGGGTCTCGGCCGGTACAACGGAAGGGCCAAGGAAGACGAGGAGAGTCAAAGAGAAAACCAGTTAGACGTGACGGACGAGAACGACGACGGGACGCCCAGCACAAAATGTAAAGTGTGCGGGAAGATCTTTGAGACGGAGGGAAACCTGAACACTCACATGAGGACACACGGGATGGCGTTCATAAAGTCAAAGAGACTGAGCACAGTGGAGAAGTGAGGGGAAGACGATATCTGGTCATTCCATAAGTTTATTAAACCTCCCGTAGCTGTGCGTGTGTTGTAAATACATGATGTTGTTGTGTACAACAGTATGTACACAGTGACAATTCTTCCTTATATCAAACTTTCACGTCTTTCAGTGACAAAAGTTTTTTGTACAGTTAGAGATGTTTATTGAATAGATTTCTTTAAAAAAGGAGTTCTTCTGCTATTTTTTCTCTTTAAGACAAGAATATTTACAAAACCATCATCATAACATGGTTTATTTTTCCTATTTGTCCCACAGTTTCAGTGCTGCTCATGTCCAACGAATGTCTGCTAGAAAACTACAATAAGTACCACTTCAGAAGGTTCCCCAACTGTGGTTTTTAGTTTTAATTTATGTATTTAAACATTTTTTTAGGCTTAAAGCTTTCACAGCATTGAAACAAGAGAACGCCAAATCATTTTTTTACAAAAAAATTTTTTGAAAAAGATATTTGACTTGGAGCTAATAAAAGTGCAATTTTGCCTACAGCTGAGTCCTAATATTGGCCAATCAAGTTCAAGAAACTAAGAGACAACGAAAAGTTGAATAAACACAAGAACATTTATTGAGTTAAAAACTCATGTGTTGTGGTTTTGTAAGGACCAACTATGGACCAAAATTAGCATTTTTTAAAATAAAATAAATATTTTGTCAGGCAATAATGAAACCTTTCAAAGTTGATGCTTCAATCTCAGTCTTAACACACTGGTAAAGGCAGCTCTTCAATGTAAAAGTTCACTTAAAATATGTTTATTGATCTAAACATTTAAAATATATAAAAAAAACAACAACTAGCACTTGCTTTTTTATTTTTATTTTTGTCTTATTGCATTTTTTCACGGTGGCATTGGTAAAAAAATAATATTGCAATAGCTTTTTATTTTAAAACATTATTTAATCTTCTACTTTTATTATTCAGATTATTTTATTTGTGTATTTTTATACATCATAATCAATATTCATTGACGAGAATCAAAGTGGGTAAATTAAAAATAAAACTTTCTTGAATGTAAACTCAGCAGCATATCTGAATTATTCCTAATACAACTAGTTGTTTTCAATCACTTTATTGAAATTTAAAAAAAAAATCATCTAGTTTTTATGTTTATTTTTACATTTGGTGAATAAATGCTGTAATGTTATAAAATTGCATGTGAGACGCAGTCTGTGAGTTGATGTGTTGTTTAGAAAGTGTCTTGCTGCTGCTGTTTTTAGCTTTTTTCATGCTTGTGTACAAACTTGTTCTTTGTCAATAAACAATGAAACCTGCCAGGAGCGGCCTGATGTCGACGGCACATTACTCATCTGCTCCTTCCAGTGGAACTGAACCTGAAAGTATTTGCTTTTTCTTTATTCTTCTGCTTCTTAGCAGTTTGTTATCAACCACCATCAGAGAAGGTGAGAGATTATTTAAATAGTGCAGGGACTGTTCAGAAACTCTCAGGAAATACTTGGTGAATGGAAAAACAACTGATTAATATTAGGAGTCAGCTTGATGTAAGTTGGCTGCCACAGCTAATCGACTTTAGGAAACTCAGCTGTGTTTACAGAGTTTGAGCTAAAATTTGGCTTGGTAGTGGCTAAAACTGATCCCAACCGACTGGGTAAGACGTTTCCTTGAAACTTTGGCCCGCAGGACAGTGGGTGGCAAGCATTCCTTTAAGAAATGTTACTTTTATTTAATAAAGGTACATTAATAATTGTAAACTGTGAGTGCTGGATTTGGATGTTTTCAAAGTCGAACAGCCATGATGCTGTATTTGGCATCTGAAAATACATTTCCTCAAAGGTATTTTTTAATCTAAAAAGAGCTTCACAGAGTGAGAAGTAATGTTGAGAGCAAGCAGACAGTTAGGTTTCACTTTCACTTTCACCGGAGAGCCTGCAGGAGTCATGAGCGGTATGTGTGGGCGGGGGGGGCGCTCTGCCATGAGGAAGTTCGGCTTAAAGACACCTCCCACAGGCGTTTCTTATCCCCACCTGTCGTTTTGCTCCTCAGCATGGCTGCCTAAAAACGCTGCAGGATTTCTCAAACATGCATGAATGCAAGGTTTTGGGCACGTTTTTTTATGAGAGTATAACATGAAATTGCCCGTTTAACTGTTAAATGCTCATATTGTGGAAGCATGTGTGCCAGATCTGATGATTTATGTGATGCATTCTTAAACTGATGTAAAGTGGATCTTATTTTCTCAGTTCAACATATAAACATAACTGAGCTCCATTGTGTGATTTTGCTGTTGCCAGGTGTGGCTGTGGCTCTCTGAGCAGGTCTTTGAGACACTGTCTCCCTCTAGTGACCAGTTTTATTCCACTGATTCATTTATTTCAAAGAGATAAATTTAATATCTTTAAAATATTAAAAGCATGACCTCTGTCCATGATGACATTTCTTTATAGATTAATAAAAACACACATTTCTCAAATTGTGAATGATACAAAGCCAATATGATGTTAAAATCTTCTGACTTATTTGCTTCAAACTGGAAAAAAATATTTGTTTGGCAAACGTATGTGGTTTGAACTTCAATCATGTTCCCTCGACACAGTGACGTATTCTGCTTTTGTCCCTCTGAGTAACTGAATCTTGTTTTTCTCTGATGTAGGAAAAAAACAGCTAAAGTTTCCAAAGCAGCAGTGTTGTTTCTAATCCAACACGTGAAAATGAATTTCACACTTCTTCCTGTCTGGTGATGAGTTCTTTTTGTTGTTATTTAAGCTCCTTTTTCTTCAAAAAAAAGATGCAGTCAGTCTTGAAATGGGCCCCGGCTGGGTTGGGTTGTTTCTGTTAGCGGGGGTCTGTAGTGAAAACCTGCAGACCTACAAAGTGTCGCAAAAATGCATGAAGGACATCAACGCGTTCCTCTGGGAGCTTCACCAAGACAAGCCAAAGGATTATGCTGTTCAAAGTAAGTTTTAGAACTGTCTGAAAGACATTTATTTAACGTTTTCTAGTATGCAGGAACAGTTGTAAATCAGGAATTAGACTGGGGTGATCAGCTCCTTTTAGGAGCAAGGGGCTCCAAAATCTAAAATCTAATTCAAAGTTTATTTTTTAAGTGAACTAATTTCTGTTTTTCTGCAGTAAAATGTTATTAGACCAGAATAAGCTTCATTTTAGACTAAAATGAGAGAAAAGACAGGTGAGATTACACAGATTAGAAAATTACATTTCAAAATATATTAGTGTTTTAATTGTTTTATAACTGTTAGACTAATATAATATTTCAGGTAATATTTAATGTCATCATGGCAATATAATGTGTGGTATTAATAAATTTGATGGTTTCTTTATAACTTTAAAGACTGGATCAAGCATTATTTATTGTATAGGCTCTTCAAATTTGTATTTTATTTGTATTTTATTTTGAAAAGCATATGCTCAAAGTATACCATAGTTGAATATCTTAAACAATACTTACAATGTTTCGTGGATAAATGAGTTTCTGTATGTAGATGCAAAATGTTTAGATGCAAAAAAGTGATAAGGTATGAGAGGCCCTTTAAGCCATAATTCACAATACTTTATCATATTTACTATCGAAGTCTTCAGAAACCATGCAAACAAGTGCATGATATATACCTTCTTTCATACATGGTAAGACAGAAAAATATGCTGCTCATTAAATAAAACAACCATTTTTAAATGTAAATTAGAGGACCAAAATGGTTTCACAGATCAAACTGGGCATCATAAAGCAGTGTTTTTCAAAGTGGGGGCCACCAGGGGGCACTAGAAAGGCTTCAGAAAGCTGGAGGAAAGATAAGACAAAACATGCAAAAAATAAAAAAACAAAAATTGAAACATTTGAGATCTTAGGAGAGGTTTTTTTCTTTTTGTTCTCTGTCTAATCAGCAAGTTTGTTGAAAAGTTGTTGTTTTTTTCAGTGGGAATATAATATTGCCTTTGAACATTTTAGTTAAAAAACAAACGTAATAATTATTAAATAGTGAATACAAAGAAAAAAGTTATGTTTCTTTTACATATTTTGTAGCATTGTTAGTAAGTTTGCAGGGGGATCCCCGGCCAGAAGCTAATGCATGGCATTGAAAGGTTTAGGAACTCTTGAGCACCAGAGAGCGTTTGTGCTCAGAGTCCTGTTGTTTCAGTGTGTGTGTTTCTGTGTGTTTCTGTGTGTACTGACAGTGTACGATGCGTTTGGAAAGATGGGCAGCAACGTTGCAGGAGGTAACGTCAACCAGCCCGGTCTGCTGCAGCAGTGCCAATCCACAGTTGGTCCCAGTTTCTCTGGACAGTATTGCCAGGTGTTCCTGAAGCAGGTTGAAACAAATCAACACCATCGCAATAGAAATATAAAGTAGTGGATGTGATAGAAAGAAATGGGTTTTGTGTAACTTTTCCTGTTTTTGTAGGGAGCGATCCATTATTTTGTGGGTGTTTGTGTTCCTGACTCCTGTGGAGAAGAGGATGTAAAAGAGCTGGTGTTCCATGGTCTATGATTTAAAGTCATTTATAACTTTTTCTGTTGAAAAAGTTATTTCTAGATTCAAAAATCTGATCGTTTATTTACTTATTCATTTGTGCGTTTGTTTGTCATGTAACTTTTCCCTTCTGAACAGACAGACTTCAGTTTAATTCGATGTCCCTCATTCTTCCTTTACCCTCTATCCTGAGCAACCGTTCGAGTCAGGAGATGATCATGACTCGCTGTTTGTCTGACGCACCTGAACCAGATGCCTCTGGTGTTGCCTGCATGTTAGTATATGATTCTTATAGTTTTGTCTTTTCATTTCAACACAGAAACACAGAAGTCCATTTGGCAAACAATGAGAGAAGACATTCAGTTAAATTTAAAATATTATCTGAAAACTGTCATGAATTGAGAATACATTTTGAAATGTCCTATCTGACTAAACTAGAATCATTTGTCAACTTAAAGTTAAATATTTGTCAAGCTTTGTTTTTTTTTCTCAATTTAAGATAATTCAAATATTTTGAAGTTTTGACTAATTAATACTTAATATATTTTTATTACCCTTTTGACCAAATGACCAAGACATTTAACAATGAGTGATTTGTCCTGCTGCATCTCAGTAATCCAGGTAGAAAAATCAAAAAGAAAAAATAAGTAGGTCCACTGGACGTTCTTCTTCAGTGAAACAAGAGATGAGGAGAGACGAAACGTTTCATTAAAGGTGAACCCGACCAGAGGACCTACTTTTTTTCCTCATTGAGGGATTCTTAGTCAAGAATGAAAAAGCTTTTTCATCCGAACTTTTAGTTTAAGGCTATTGTGCTTAGAGGTAGTTTGAACCCAAAAAGGCAAAATGAAAGCTCAGAACGCAAAGGTAAAAGTAAAAAATCAAATCTCTTTACAAAAGTAAAACAAAAATCTGACGATGCAGCAAAAGTACTCATTAGAAAGAATCTCAAGAGGCACACAAAGGAGAACCAAAACATTAATGGCTTACAAGCACAATGCACAGATGCTAGACAAACCAAAAGACAAAACGTTTAAAGAGACAACAGCCCAAGAACCACAATCACCTGGGGAAAAGAAAGTGAGGCTGAGATGGGAGTGGATGGAGCAGGAGCTGGAACTGAACGATTAACTGAGGGTAGATGAATGGATAGCACACAGGGGGAAATAAACACAAGTAACTAAATACACAAATCACAGAAATCTAACTAAAGCCAAAACAACAAACACAAAATAAGACCTAAACTACACATCCTAAGGAATGATAAAAACACATGAATCCTAAGATACAAACAAATATAAAAGAGACCATGTAAGAATCTAACACAAAAAACAACAACCAAAACAGGGATTATTTATTAACTAAGCAAATCCATTTGAGATCCCAGATCTCTTTTTCAAAGGAAGCCTGAAGGCAACCTATTGTACATGTTTTTTTGGGGGTGGGGGAAACCGGAGTACCTGGAGAAAACCCGCAAACATGAGGAGGACATGCAAACTCCGTACAGAAAGACCCCAGGTCCGAACCGAGGATCAAACCCAGAAACTTCTTGCTGTGAGGCTTCGGTGTTAACCACTTAGCCATCATGCTGCCATTTAGGATTTATTTATAGTTTTTTGGTTAGAAGTACATCTTAGGTTTTACAGTGTCTGTGTTTACATCACTCCTATGAACACAGGAATAATTTCTTTACTGTGTTTTTGTCAACTATTTACTGAGTTAAACTGATTGTCATTTCTTGCAGGTTTGTGTGTTGTGTTATGATAGCGGTCCCTCTGGCAGCCACCCTTTTTACGGCCATAGTAGGGTCAGAACCAAGCAGAACGGTCAATCCTACGTTGGAGTTTCCTCATTTAAACAATGACGTTAGCGTTTATGGCACTCTGAAGACCAACGGCCTGTCCAGCTGTGAAGGAAATGGCAGTACGGTTGAAGAAAACAGTACGTGCAATGTGCATTTTACCCTGCTACTGATTTAATTAATCCTTACTGATCATTCCCTTTTTGCAGACCACATCAGCTCACTTCAGTGGTGCATTTCTCGACGCTGTGTGTACGGATGCCTTCAGGCTTTTTCTCTGCAAACCACCTGCAGGAGCGTCTTCAGCTCCTCACCCTCAACCCCACGTGGAGGCTACTCCTCGCTCCATGGCATCCGTGTTCTTAGCCTGTTGTGGATCATATGTGGCCACTCCACACAGTTCCTGGTCATTAACAACTTAGGTATGAAAGTACGAGGTAGCCGAGATTTCATTTGATTACTCACAAATATTATAATTTGTACTCTCATATTCTTCTTTTAGACAACTACAAAACTTGGAGGAAAACAGTTGAAAGCAGCCCATTGTATATAATTACCATCAGTGGGCCTGTTTTCCTGGCTGTAGACACCTTCTTATTACTGGGGTAAGGCTAAAAAAGGGGTGGGGGTGTTACAAAAGTTAATACTTCTGAAGTTAAAAATTTCAGATACGTAACTTCACATAGAGACTAAGCTTGTGAATTTACTCCAAAGGGTTCAAGAGCAGTTAATTTAATTTGTGTGTTCAAATTTTTTACGTTTTACTTTGTGTTTCAGGGGTCTGCTCAGTGCCAGGTCCCTGCTGAAGTCAATCGACATGGCTGAAGACAACCTGACCCTCGGTCTGGTTGCAAACTACCTCCTCAAAAGGATTAAAAGGCACCGTATTTAACAATTTGTCAAAACAATCCAGGAACACGTGCATGTATCGGTGCATTGGGCAAGATGAACTTCCCTCTTGTCTTTCCGCCTCACAGGATTCAGCCTCTGCATCTGTTCACTACATGTCTAACGATCAGCCTCATCTCTTTGGTCTGCTGGGGCCCCTACTGGTTCCCATTTATGGATACAATGATGGATTGTAAAACGTACTGGTGGGCTAACCTACTGCTGATTAGCAATCTTCTCCCAGTTCATGAGATAGTATGTGTAATCTTAAAACTTGTCCATTTAGTTCAAGCTGTTTATTTCCTAACATTTTATTTCAAACCTCTCCTCAGTGCACTCCTTGGACCTGGTACTTGTCTTTAGACTTCCAGTGTTACATCACCACTCCTCTGTTGGTCTATTTTTACAGACTGTATGTCCACATTATTTAATATGATTATAAAACCCACATTGACCCCACAGATTTAATCTCATTCTGACTTTTATTTCTCAGTAAAAGAAACGTGTTTGCAGCTGTAGTAGGAGGTCTTCTGCTGATGTCCACTGTGGCCAGTGCTGTCACAACTGCATACCTGCACTTACCAGTCTTCCAACCATCTACAATGTAAGCTTCAGTAATGAAGTTCAAATAACTCCAGATGCACAATGAATAAGATCAAACAATCCACTTCTTCTCATGCTTATTTCCACAGGACATCAGAAAACTATGTTTTGTATTACTATGTGAAGCCCTACACAAGGTACGGACCATTTCTAATAGGGATTCTGCTGGGAATATACCTGTCAACCAGGAAAGATCAGCTGGTAAAGCACAAGGTGAGACCATGAGATTATTTTGATAGTCAACCCTGCAAACATTAGTTCTTTAAAGTTTGTCATCTCTTTAGGAATAGTGACGGTTCAATAAAAAAAATAGGGGGGGATGCTTATTTCTTTTTTCTTTTGTTTTTCTACAAATTATTAAACAAAAACAACTCATTTCATTTCTATCCAAATTCCAAGTTAAAAGATAGGTTTTGGCTTATTTAAGGGTTCAATTACTTTTCACTGTTTCTTTGGTAAAATGATTAAAGCGCTTATTGGCAGGGAGGTAAAGTAAGGAGTTGTAGCGCCCTTTAATGGAGATAGATGGGTAGATGGTCGGCATGGAACATAGAGTTGTTGCCTCTCAGCAAGAAGGTTGCTGGATCGAATCCTGACCATGGGGCCTTTCTGGGTCGAGGTTGCACGTTCTCTCCATCCATGAATATTAACTGGTAACTCTAAATTGTCTCTAGGTGAGAGTGTGAACGGTTATATGTCTCTGTGTAGTTCTGTGATAAACCTGTGATCTCTCCAGGATGTACCCCGCCCCCAGCAGTGACTGCTGGATGGGTACCAGTGAGGAAAGGAAGAAGCAGGTTAAGATGATAGATGGATAGATATGACATTTTTATTTAGTTCAGAGCAGGTTTATTTTGTAAAACTACATTCATTGTTTTTAATCATAACCCACTTTTACTGATGTGTTCAAGTTAAGCACGATGAACATCCTCATTGTGAAGATTACACATTTTAGCAAATCGGAATGTAGTATTTAAACTCAGTGTTGTGCTGCTCAGGGAATTGAAAATTAAAAAAAATATATAACTTGGACTTTTTTCACCCAGCAGCCCTAAAGCTGTTTAACTTTAGCATCCATGCTTTCATTGTCTAATATAACTCAGAATGTCAAAATATTCTGGCTCAGATGCAGTAAAAAAAAAGAGGCCCAAATCATAATATTACCCACCTGTTTCATTTACTGTAAATGACTATTTATTGCGATAAAATGCTAAAAATTGTCGTCACACTGAGTGATTATCTTGTCTTTCTGTTGGGTCAGTGGCAGGCAGCAGTAGGTTGGTTCTGCTCTCTGTCACTGATGGCTATGCTGGTGGGATTTGCCTACGTCCTAAAGGAGACCCCTGCTCACCCCTCACTGCCTCATGCTGTGTATCAGGGGCTCCACAGACAGGTCTGGGCCCTGACTGTGAGCTGGATCATACTGGCCTGTGAAGAGGGTTACGGAGGTATGAACAAAAACAAATCACATCTTTATTCAAATACGGAGAATTCTGCATTGAAAACACTTGATGGTGTTTGTTATGCCACAACTTTAAGCCTTTTTCCTACTTTTTTATACTTCAGTAATATAAAAGTAAAAATGCATTACACCAAAATATTTCAGCACCACCTCTTTTTATTATTCTGTTTTTATGTTTTAGGTTTTATCAAAGAGTTTTTATCATGTAGTTTTTGGGTTCCTGTTTCCAACATCAGCTTTGCCTGCTACCTGATACATCCTGTCTTCATCATCCTCTACAACGGCCTGCAGGAGACCCCCACCCACTATACTGACATCAGCTTTGTAAGTGAGAATTTCATCTTCATGTTACTATCTTTTCCAGATATTTATCTTAACTAAAAAAATTAAAAACTAAATTCTTCATATCTTTGGACCACTGGATGTCTGCCTTCTATAGATGTACCTGTTCCTCGGCCACCTGGTGCTGACGGTGGTGGTGAGCTGTGCACTCACTGTGTTAGTGGAAAAGCCCTTCGTCTTCCTTAAACGGAGCAACTCGTAGGAAAAAAACAATTTAAAAAATCAAATAAGAATTATTAGTCCATAAAATGTTGTGGCTCCTGTATAAACAGTTCTGTGAAAATAAACATATCCTCACTAAAAATGCAGAGATTTTGTTCAGTTTTTGTGACCATGCTTGGTTTTTATTATACTATGTCTCTTTGTGTGCATGTGGTACTGTGTAGTTGCATCTGCAGCTCATTTTTCTTATGCCATCCATACATGGTGTTAATGTTTAAAACAAAATTTTCAAAAAGCTTGTATTTTCCTTCTGTGTATCTAGTACAGTATATACAGCGAGTAAAATAAGTATTGAACACGTCACCATTTTTCTCAGTAAATATATTACTAGAGGTGCTAATGACTTGAAATTTCCACCAGATGTCGGTAACAACACAAGTGATCCATACATACAAAGAAATCAAACCATAAATGTCCAGAAATGAAGTTATTTGTAATAATGTGGAATG